CTCCTACATCAACATTTTCAACCCTTCATTACTATCGATTCCCTCGAACCGCAATGAAAACGAGCTGCCGCCGTGCGAGGCGATGGGCCGAAGCCCGGGCCCAGCGAAAGAGGTCGACGGGCCGTGTTTACAGTTTAAGTGAAGATTTAGGGCGGGAGTGTGCGGCGATCAGGGTGCTCCCTTATCTCTGCCACACTGCCCGCCGCACACCCACTGCACCCTCACCTAGGCGAGCGCCGGCTACGGACGTGGCGGCCGCGAAAGTACGGCCAACGGCATGAGGCGGAAGAAGGCCTCGCGTTGTCCTGGGAAGGAAGAAAGGAGCCCCGGCAGGGAGGAAAAGTTACAGACGGAGGAGTAACGGCGCGGCGGCGGCGGCGGCGGCGTGGCGGAGGAGCAGGAGTCGCAAGGAACAAAGATAGGTATGGGAGGGAGACCGAGACAAGGGCAGGAAAGAGAGCGCGGGGTAGAAAGAGAGTGAGAGGAGCGGAGGCAGTCTTGGTCCGGCCTGGTGGCTCCGTCGCAACATCTTGCAACCACGCCGGCCTAACCCCCAGGCTACCACGAGGGACCGCTCTTTCTGCCCGTTTCGTCCGCGTCCTGCAATGCTTCGCCCGCGGAAGTTTTCTCCTTTCGGGCCCTGACGGACGCTCGTGCGGCGTGGCAGGCGCTGACGGGGCCCTTGCTCTCAGCCATGACGCCTCGCTCGTCGCTGCCCCGCCACGCCGTTACGCAAGCCGACAGGCCTTCTGCAGGAGCGAAGCCCCGGCCCGACTGCTGTACCCTAGCGAACAGTTCCGCGGCTCCTAACAAAGAGCAACAAAAAGTAACAGCTCTAAAAAGCTACGAGCCAAGCCTTAGGTGACCCTCGCTCCGTCTGCCTAGGTCTGCCTCCTCTAGGTCTGCTTCTTCCATATCTCGCCCTCCACTCACGCTGCCCCGGCTTCCCCTCGATCGCTCGCTCCTCGCCCTCGTCTCCCAGCTCGTCCTCCAAACGGCCTCCTCCTCCGGATAGGCCTGCTCCCTCGGCGCCGCCTCTCCTGCCACGGTCTATGGGGCTTGGTCTGCCGAGCCCGCTGTCGCCCCTTCGCCTCGAGTTGCTCCTCCAGCGGCCGCCTCTGCCGCGACAGCTGGCTCTGCCGAGTCCATCTACCTATCCGACCTGTCACGGTCTACTGCAGTCCGCTCAGGCTGGGTCTGGCTCCGGCCGCCTCCTCGGCGCGAAATTTCTGCCACGGTGCGTCACGGCCTCCGCCTTCTCCTCCTCCTCATTCCTCTCCTCCTCCTCTTCCTCCGCGCGGTCCATGAGGCATTGTTCAGAGGCAGAAAGTTCTCCCTGTACAATGACTGGTACACTCGTGCACAGCGCACATGATCAACACTCACCTGTGGGCTTCCACCTGTACTCGATACTTGTCCTACTAGGGTGCGTCATCGTGACACTTGTGTGGCCGCGGCACACTCTCTCTCGCACATACACGCACACACACAAACATGTCAGTACACATGCAGATACACCCACCGACACCCACGCAGCAGGTGGGCCAGGAGCAGGGCCTCCGCTGCCTCGCCGGCCTGCAAAGTCAGCAAAGATTTCCTTTTCCGTACCTTCCGACGGCGGCTTAGAGAGAGGCGAGAGTCCGCAGGCCCGGGGCGGAGGTCACACGTCGGCAGGGCGAGAGGCGAGGTCGGACACGGGTCATGGCTGCAGGCAGGTCACTCCGCCGCGCCGTATGCTGGGTCACTGCACATGCCGCTAGTCACTCTCGCTCCGGGATGATCAGTGTACATGTGTCAGGTCCTCACACCGTGACGCGGAAGGGAGGAGGAGGGAGGGAGGGAGGGCGAGGGGGGGAGAGGAGGGGAGGGAAGGGTTGGGAGAGAGGGGAGAGGGAAGGTAAAGGGTTTAGGAACCATTGGCAGATCTGGGCCCCGACCCTCGTATCTTCTTCCTCTCCTTCCTCCTTCTTCACTTCCTCCTCCTCTTTCTTCTTCTCTCCTTTTCCTCTCTCCTCCTCCCCTCTCTCTCTCTCTCTCTTCTCCCAGGCACTCATCTCCTCATTTTCTTCACCCTCTCTCTTTCTCTCCGCCTCGTTATGACGGGTTCCTTCCCTCCTTCCCTTCCTTCGTCTCGCCCTCCCTTTCTCTCTTCTCATCAAAAAAATCGTTTCTCTTTCCCTTCTCGCCCCTTCTTCTTGCCTCTGGTCCATAGCCCTTCTCTATCGCGCAGCACCAAACCCATTTATCCCCTAAACATCCCCTTCTTCTCTCCCTCCCTTCTTTCAGAAACGCCATCCTCAGCGCCTCCTCCGTCCATAATCCGAAACCCCTCACTTTCCTTGCCTTTCCTCTCTCTCTCTCTTCCCTTCTCGCTCTCGCCTCAGCCTCTCACCACTTCCCTTTCACTTCCCCCTTTCCTCCTCCTTCCTCCTCCTCAATCCCCTTTCGGCTCTGCCCCCATCCACCCTTTCTCTCTCTGCCTTTCTTCAGCATCTCCACTTCTCTTCTCTCTACTGTTCCTACTCCTCCCTCTCTTCATCTTCACTTTCCTCCTATCACGCAGCATCCTTCTCCTTCCTCTTCTCCCACTTTCTGCGCATTCACGGCGCCCTTCTCCTTTCTCCTCCTCCTCCTTCTCGCCCCCCTTCCCTCCTTTCCCCCATCTTCATCCATCCCCTCTCTTTTTCCTTCCTCCGTCTATGGGGTCCCAGTCTCCTCTCTGTCTGTCTGTCTATCTCTCGCACTCTCTGTCTGCTCTCTCTCCCTACCCCCGCTCTCTCTTGCTCTCTCTCTCTTCTCTCTCTCTCTCTCTCTCTCTCTCTCTCCTCTCTCTCTCTCTCTCCTCTCCTCCAATCTCGCCACCCCTTCACCGGCTTTTCCCGCTTTCTCTCTCGACTTCCCTTAGTCCCAGACACCCCTAGCCATGCTGGCTGTCTTGGCTTCAGTCGTTTTCATTTTGTCCCTTCTTTTAAGTGTCTTTTCTTTTGGATAATTCTTTTCCGTATTTATTAACTTATTTATCTGTCATTATTTTTAATAATTATGATCATTATCATTATAATTATCATTATCCTTATTATAAGCATTATTTTTCTTTTTATCTTTTCTGTTCTTTCCTGTATTTATGCATTGCAATAGCTATTATCAGTGGGGAGTGGATAGGAGAAGAAAAAAGTAAACACGAATAGGATGAGAGAGAGAGAGAGAGAGAGAGAGAGAGAAAGAGAGAGAGAGAGAGAGAGAGGAGAGAAGAGAGAGAGAGAGAAGAGAGAGAGAAGAGAGAGATGAAAGAGGAGAGAAAGAGAAAGAAAAGAGGAAGAGAGAGAGAGAGAGAGAGAGAGAGAGAGAGAGAAGAAGAGAGAGAATGAGAGGAGAGAGAGAGAGAAAGAGAAGAGAGAGAAGAGAGAGAGAGAGAGAGAGAGAGAGGAGCAGGAGGCTGAGCAATGTGGTCAACAACGAGAGCATTTAGCAAGGTCGAAGGACTACACGTGGTTGCAGCGTCCAGGAGGTGGAGGGATGAATAGAAAAGGAACACAAGAGGGAGGAAGAGGGAGAAGGGAGAGGGAGAATTAAGAGGAGGAGGAGGAGGAGGAAGAAGATGAGGATCAGGAGAATGAGGATGATGATGATGAAGAGGAGGAGGAGGAGAGGAAGATTGAAGTTAAGAAGAGTAGGTGAATACAATAGAAGAATAGAAGAGAAGAGGAAAAAGGAAAGAAGAGGAAAAGAGAAAAGAAGAGGAGGAAAAAGAAAGAGGAAAATATGAAATATATAAAGAGAAGACCAGGAAGAGGAAGAAGAATAAGAAAAAGGGAAAAGAAAAAAAAAAGAGAAAAAAGAATGATGAAAAAGGAGAAACAAGCGGAAGATAAAAACAGAGGAAAAGGAAGAACAAGAAGGAGAAAAGGGAGGAGGAGCAGGCCTTTGCCCCCTGCCGCCCTCCTCCTTCTTCTTCCCTCCTCCTGCCCCCCCCCCCCCCCCGCAGTGGCAAAGACGAGAGCCGAGGAAATTCCCTGCTAAACAATGGCCCGAAATTGGCGACGGGAGCGGCGCTCTCGAAAGGGGGAGGGGGGGGCGGCGGAGAGCGGGTCTCTCGAAAGGGGGGAGGGGGGAAAGGAGGGGGAGGGGGGGGAGACGACCGAGACGCGACCGAACGTGGACCGATTCGGAAAAAAAGAATAAAAAAAATAAAATCGCGGCACCGTAACAGCGCGCCGATCGAACAGGACCGAACCGATACGATCCGGCCCGACCGAAAGACCGATTATCGCGGTCTCCCTTTCTCTTTCTCTCTCTCCCTCCCTCCCCTCTCTCTCTCCCTCCCGGGAAAGACAGACAGACAGGCAGGCATGCACATACACTCAAATATCAAGGCCATTCACTAACCCGTCTGCCGTCCGTATACTCCCTTCTCTCTCCCTCTCATCCCTCCCCCTCCACCCCTCCCGACCTCCCTCTAACCCCCCTACCGCAACATTCCCATCTCTCTCTCTCTCTCTCTCTCTTTTTCCTTCTTTCTCTCTCTCCTAATTCTACCCCCCTCCCTCTCTCTGTCTCCGTCCGTTTGTCTATCTATCTGTTTTTCTCCTTTCTTCCTTCCTTCCTACCTCTCCTCTCCTCACTTTCCCACCCTCCCTCCTTCCTTCCTTCCTTCCCTCCCTCCCTCCCTTCCCAGCCCCCCCCCTCCTCTCCTTTACCTTCCTTCCCCAACCCCCCCCCCCCAACCCCACCGCTTTGCAAAATTCTTCCGTCAACCCAGAGTACTTCGCTCTGTTACGCAGTGCACATGATACAACTCTCCTGGAGGTAAATGTGAACAGCAGGACCAAATACAATAACAACACAACAAAAACAACAACAAAAACAAAATACGGAGTGAGTGACCAAGCGAGCGTATTTAGAGAGAGAGAGAGAGAGAGAGGAGAGAGAGAGAGAGAGAGAGAGACAGAGAGAGAGAGAGAGAGAGAGAGAGAGAGAGAGAGAGAGAGAGAGAGAGAGAG